AATTATTTCTAAAAGGTCTGAACTTCTAGTTGAACCTTTCTTATTGGTCTTAGTAAATTTTCCTCTAATACAATCCACACAAGTCTCTATACCGTTAAAATCTAAGGAAGCTAAAATATCATCTCTAATTAACCTTTCAACTCTTTCTTTAGAGATATGTCCTAAACGTTTGTGCCACAACAAAAAGGATTTTTCTATAATTTTAGATCTTTTAGTAATGGAGCTTTCGACATTTAAGGATGAGGATATAATATCACAATCTAAAGATAACTTATATAAACCATCCAACAAGATACCATTACCAACAAATTGAGAATTCAACATCAAATTTAATTTTCCATCATAAAAGGTAAATTGAAATCCAAACTTATCCAAACAAGATACTGAAATCAAATTCCTCCTAAAAGAAGGTACATAAAATGTATCTTTCAAAACAAGTTCAAATCTAGTTCCTAAGACTAAGCTAACATTTCCCACTAGCTCCACAATTACTTCAAGATCATTTCCTACCCTGAGTTTGCTTTCCCTCAAGTTTGATCTCCGCTAGTTTCTGAACCCCTGTAAGGAGACAACAATATGGTTTGTAGAACCACTATCAAGCCACCAAGAATTAATGGGAACATCGACTAAGTTAGACTCAAAACAGACAAAAGATAAATGATTACCTCCAGATTTGTTCTTGTTGTCTAATCAATCTTTAAAAGCATGACAATCCGTTTTCTTATGTCCCTTTTCCTTACACCAAAAGGATTTCTTAAAAGCAACAGGCATGGGACCTCCTATATTATGGTGTTGACCATTACCAGGTTTCCTATCAGGATATCTATGAGAAATACTATGAGTGTTTTTCTTATTTTTCCAAGATTTTTTACTAGAATGGGGTTTAGAATGAAAAGTTAGGAGGGCTATATCACTTTTCTCCTTCTTGAGTTTCTCTTCTTCAACTACACACTTGGTAATAAGGTTATTGATAGTCCACTTATCACCAAATGTATTATAGACAGTTTTGATTTGAGTGAACTCAGCAAGTAGGCAATTTAAGGCATGAGACACAATAAAATTCTCATTCAAGTCAATTTCATGGGATTTTAGTTTGGTTTGGACATGAACCATCTTAAGAATGAACTCTCTGACACCCTCATTGTTATCATATTATATGTTCGTGAGTTGTTTTATTAAACATCTAGATTCAGCATTATCAGATACCTGAAATCTCTCTCCAATAGCAGTAAGATATTTTTTAGCATTCTCTTTCTCATATAATCCATTTATCAGATGTTCAGAAATTTTCCTCTTCATAGCACACAAGCTAAGTAGGTCACTCCTCTCCCACTTAGCTAATTTTTCTTTCTCTTCAGGTGTACTATGATCATTGATCACAAGTTTGGTTTCACGCAGTGTCATGTCAAGGTCAGCAATCCCTAATGTAAATTTCAAGTCTTTCTTCCATTTCTTAAAATTAGACCCGTTCAGGATCTCAATAGAAGCAGAATAGTTGTTCATAGAGAAAGTCACTATTTAGAAAGAATAGGAATGCATTAGAACAAATAATAAAGATAAAATATAGCTTTAATGAACATAATCTATCATGAAGAGGCCAACATTGTCACACAATCCCCTTTGGATGGAATGCGCAAAATCCAGGTTACAACCAAGGTCAGAACCTTATATGAGTTACTCAATGAGCATACATTTTGTTCAAAAATCTATCTCCTTTGGGCAGATAAATTCTCTAAACCAAAACACCTTCAATAACTTCATCTACGAATTCAAGAATAAGCTACTCAATACGCATACATTGAGTTTAGAAATTTATCTCCTTTGGATAAATAAATCCCTTGGACTCAAGCATCTCCAATAGCTATATCCTTAATCAACCACAATCTCTACATACAATTGTCCACCTTTGGGAAGAAAATCATAGTAATGACTTAATATCATTCCTCAAACTATAAAGAGACTTTTATAAATTAAAATGAGTGATCTCACTTTGATGATAATCACACACAATAATTTATAGAATTTCTTACATATCAATTAAATTTCTCTCGCCAAAATAAATCATGAATTTAAACAACATAGCATTCCCAATAAATTTTATCCTCATCATTGTCAATTTCAATAAAAGAGATATTATACAATGTCTCAAAATATTGTATTATAGAACCATACTATATTAATCAATGTCAACTTTAATTGATATATTACACCTTGCAAAATTCAATATAATTAAGTGATAAAGAAACACAAACCACATTAATTGAAATAGCTAACCTATTTCATTATTAGGTTACAGAACGCCGCTAAAACCCTTTTAACACACACACACACAACACACAGACACACACAACACACACACAATAAGTATAGTTAATAAGCACTTAAGTTCAGCATACCAGAATTACAACCCTACATAATTCCAATTCTAAGACTATTGTGCCAAAATTATAATATAATAATAAAATAACAACTACATGATTGACAATAAATTACGGCACTAACATTCAGTATACTATAACAAAATTAAATTGCAACCTATAAAATATTAATCCAACACAATATTGTTGAAACCCTAAAACATCATAAATAATTTAAAGACTAAAGGACAAAAATTAATAGTTTTAAAATTATGAAGAGTTACAAAAATCGGTAAAATATCATATCATAGTCATATGAGTAGAATGGACATATGAGTTTGGCATGTGCATGAATGTTAAAAGTCAAAAGCATTATCAAATGCTAAAACTGTCACTAGGCTGCAAGGTTATCGATATAATGGCCTAAGACATCTTATATATACACGCCGGCATACAAGACAATCATATCAGGAAATAGGAACTGTGATCTGATACGTAATGATGTAACATAAACAAGAATGGTATGATAATAATCATTATTGGTGCATTAAGTAATTGGACAATTAGTGATCATAATTTTCTCACAAGCTCTAGTGTGTTGTTTGCATCTAAATAAAAATTGCACCACATATTAATAATCGAACGATACGCGAAAAGAAAGTGGATCGTCCTACGATCATCTTAAATCATATTTATATATTAACAACAAACAATTGAATTCTAACTCATATAATCAGGCTCTGATACCATATGTAAGCGAAAAAATTTATCTATCAATTATATGAAATTAGAACATCAATACTTACTTGTTGAAGTCATGATTCAGAATCTCGTTCACAACTTTCAATGGGACAAGTTTTGAAGCCGTCAATTATGTTTCTGATTCTTATTGTGATTACAGAGGAGACCTAACCATATAATATATATAACCCTAGTCCCTATCCATTATGGACTCAAGGTTAAAACTCACACTTTTATCCACACCAATCAGGTTTCAGATACTCAGCCATTAGTTAAAAATGATCACTTAATTAATAAAAAGACTTATATATGCACCCCATCAGAATCACGATTAATACGTTTTTTACAAATTTAAAACACAATTGATATTAAAAAGTTAAAATTTAAAATGATTAATACGATTTTTATATGTAACCCATAAAATTTTTGATAAATCTAATATAATAATTTATATTAAAAAGTTAAAAACCATCTGATAATAGATTAATATAGTATACTATAATTATACTAATACAAAAAAAAATGTATTAGATTGGTTGGAGTATGATAGCTCATAGCTATTAACTAGTTGATCTAGATGAATATAAATTGAATTTTACTCTAGAGTTTAATGATTGTGACTTTCATTGTAAAAAAGAATTTTATATATATATATATATATATATATATATATATATATATATATATATATATATATATATATATATATATATATATATATATATATATATATATATATATATATATATATATATATATATATATATATATATATATATATATATATATATATATATATATATATATATATATATATATATATATATATATATATATATATATATATATATATATATATATATATATATATATATATATATATATATATATATATATATATATATATATATAAAATCAAAATATATTAAAGTGTCATATTATATAAATAATTTAAAACTTATAGATTGATTTATTGAAATACATATTTATCAATCATCGATAGTGTAAAAATAATTTATATCGTCGCTGCATTATTCATTTTCTCTTTATCACGTTAAAATATTGAAAAGTAGATTTACACGGTTAAGGAATTAATAACGGTGTGATTTTGATGGAATGGATAAAAAATTATATAATTTTTATTTTATAATAATTCTAAAAATACTGAAGTTCAATTAAAAGAGTGATTTTGATGGAATGGATAAAAAATTATATAATTTTTATTTTATAATAATTCTAAAAATACTGAAGTTCAATTAAAAGAATTTGACCTAAATCGGACATTCAGATATGCATACGCTATACGCTGCGGGAAATCTGGATGTTCGGGATTGAATAGGGAAAAAGCTGAGAAAACTAGTGTCGCCAAGAGTGTGGTTTGGCTATTACATTTCTCTCTAGCGTCTGGTCCCAAAGAAAGCACATGAAGAACACTTAGTGTCTGATCTCAGAAAACACATCAGTACAATCCGTGATAATTTGGTTAATAGCTACAAGTTTTAATTTACACCCTAAGCATTTAACGACAGATTCAGAGTCAGTTTTCCTAGTTGTATGGGAGTCAAAGTTAGTACCTAAAGAAACAGAACAAAATAAAACAAGAAAATTAATATTATTAGTAGTATTTTTTTTCTTCATTTTTTATTCCCTTACAACCGGTTCCAAGAAAATAAAAATGGAGGAAAGAATATACTGGTACATGTATAAAATCATAAATACAATGATGGATTATATTATGTTGGATGAACTTGATCCTTCAATGTCTATATTATGTTTGCTTCATTTTCTGGAAAAATTCTTGGAATCACATAACTTCAAACTCAAGGTTCTCTCCCATATATTAAGATTAAAGAATAATGAATTATTCTTGATTTTCTTAATGTTTCTTCATCATGAACAAGCTTATGCAATCCTTTGAAGATTATATGTCACCATATCCTCGAGAGCTAACCGATACACGCTTTGCGGTAGACATTGAAGACTTTGAATAGCAAGATCAGCTTTCTCTTTCGCCAACTCTTGTGCTCTTTCGATTCCGCCACAACTCTTCACCAATTCAATTGCCTCATCAAGTGAACCGATCTCACTAAATTCAGACTCAATGATATCCCTTAATTTCGGTTCTTTCTCCAACGCAAAAATTACGGGAGCGGTCAGGTTACCTTTGGCAAGATCACTACCGGCAGGCTTTCCAAGCTGCTCGGCCGATTGCGTGAAATCCAGTATGTCATCGACAACTTGGAAGGACAGACCGAGATTCTTTCCATATTCGTACATTTTCTCAGCAATGCTGGTGTCTGAACCACTGAAAACCGCAGCTCCTTTTGTACTAGCAGCAATCAACGAGGCCGTCTTTAAAAAACTCTTGGTTAGATACTCGTCGAGTTGAACGCCGCAATCAAACAAGCTAGAAGCCTGTTTTATTTCTCCACTAGCAAAGTCTTTAATCACCTGCCGCCACAGCACCGAAAGTTATGCAATGATATTTTTGTCATTTTAATACATTAAGGGACTAAGTGACATTGCCTCACACGTTTAAGAACCAAAATGACAAATCTACTCGATTTTAAAAGGTAGAATGATGGAACTCACCTGGCTGATAAGTTTAATGACTTCAATGTTTTCAAGGTTGGCGAGATACCACGATGCCTGTGCAAACATGAAGTCACCGGCCAGCACTGCCACTCTTGTTCCAAACATTTGATGTACAGTGTCCTTCCCTATTAATCCATAGCAAGTTAGTAACTGCATCGAGTTCAAATAGACGGAATCGGACAGCAGCAGAGTAGTTTGAAAAGAAAGAAACTAGGAAACCAGATGCTACATGATGCAAGAACAAAGCATAGATGCTTAAGCATATGTGTGTGAGGCAAAAAGGAAATTCTAGATCAAATAGATTATAACATGGTTGTCTGAGATTAAAATCGAAACAACCGTACTGTATGAGAAAGTTTCTTTAGCGAATGCATATTGCCAAACAAGATCATAAGCAAAAAAATAGTGATATCAAGAATACTAAACAGATATTTCTAAATAAGGATTGCAAGCTTACCTCTTCTTAGGTCACTCTCGTCTAACACATCATCATGTATCAAACTCGCAGTATGAATCATTTCAATTATCTCAGCTAAACGTCGATGCTTTATAGTAAGATCCCTGAAATCATTCATTTTAACATGAAGCTTTCACGACAAGTAAATAACTTCAGTGTAAGTGTGCGGTCGTGCAAGAGAGAAAGAGAGACAAAGAGAAAATATTATACTTACTCCAAGGCAAGTAGTTCCGCCGTCGCCCTTGAGACCAAGAACACGAGTGCTGGTCTCATCCTCTTCCCACCAGCACTAAAGATCTGCTCAGCTGCAGATACCAAAACTGGATTTTCCGCACCTACAATCTATCAAAAGCATCGTCATCAGATTCACTAACATCTAGGCAACAAACATTTAATCATTCGTGTTTGCAATGTAAAAGAAGCTAAAAGGAAAGTATGTTCAGCATGCAATAAGAATGACCAGTGTTGTCAAATAGCAACTATTTAGTACAAAGTGATGCCAAATAGTTGTTATTGATGTAGGTAAATTTGAACAAACCGTTATTTCTCGCGATATGCGATTGACAACAAGAAATTGAAAGTAGAAATAAGCAACTAGAGAATAAACATATTTAATCCTAAAGCATTGTACTTTCTAAGCTTGTATCATGAAACTCAAGAATCAATATTTTATCAAACAGAATTGAAACAAGAAATTCAAAAACCGTTAGCAACAACAATGAGCAAAGAAGGCCATGTGACGAATCACTGAACTACTTACAGTCAACAGATTTTTATTGAGTGTTTGAAGATCATCAGAAACTACTTCAAACAACCTATTAGGTGAAATAGGAGTTTCAGAATAAGTCTTCAAATTCAATCCTTTAGCAAGGTCTTTAATTGCTTGAGTTCCACCTATGCAAAAAAAAAAAAAAAAAAAAAAAACAAACGAAAGCTTTTAATTCCAAACTGCCACTGCTAAAATCAATACCAACCTAAGAAGCACCGACACCCCGAACACGACCCGACACCGACACGACAGCGCCGATAATAATTTGAAAAAATTTGAAAAAGTAAATAATGAAATAATTCATTCAAACTAGAAACATGAAGCAACTCTACAACACAATTCTATTATATAACAAAAAAGATGTTATACCATCCAAAGTAGACTCTGCAGTATCCATAGAAGAAACACGATATTGAGGAGTGTTCTTCTTCTTAGAAGAAACCAATTTACGAGCTCCATTTCCACACCCTTTAGAATTCACTTTTGCATGAAAATTCCTCACCTTATTATATCTATGAAACGAAGCATTGGAAGAACAGCCACAAGAAACCAAGTTTTTTCCAACAAAATCAATACTTTTGCTAGTAACAGACATCATTCAGTCTAGAGAACTTTACTCAATCACAACTCACAATACCCAGATGGAAAATGAAGTAAGTTAAGCCTTTAAATAGAGACCCAAGAACAAGTTACAAGCATTGGAGGAAGAACTGTGAAGTTGGGATTGGGAAAATGGAAGAAACAAGAAAAAGAGAAGATACACAGAAAAAAATGGGTCTTTTTTTTTGGGTTAAATGGGTCACAAGTTTTGGTGAAGTAGGAAAGGCAAGAACAAGAAGAGAGTTAAGCGAGTGGATCCTAAGAAACCACATGGGTTTGGTCTCGTTGGTTTCTTATCGGTCGGAGAGAGAAAATGTGGTTAGAATGAAATATGTGATTCATACTTCTTGCTTTCAATATTTTATTTTAGAGGATAATATGAATCAACCTCAAAATATTAAGGTGTATATATACTCATTTAAGAAAAAAATTAGAATTATTATAAAATAAAAGGAAATATAGTAGTAAATCATTTTGTTAAAAAAAGTATTTCTTTAATATTTTTTTAAAATTGTTTTAAAGATAACTTTTTGGGGGAATGAAAATTTGAAAATCAATGATTTTAAGACAATTTCATTATTTTTATGATAAAAAAGATGGTGTCTTTATTTGAATATGAAAATAGGTAAAAATTAAATAATAATAATAATAGTATACATGATTATTATCATTTTGTAGTGTTTAGTTTATTTTGTATTTATCATTTAACTATTTAATGTCGTGTCATTTTTTATTAAAAGTTATTTTAAATTAAATTTTAATTTTAAATGACTTAGGTTTTTAGAACATCGATATCCAATTAAATATTAAAATATAAAATAAAATTTAATTAAAATATGGCATGAAAGTCGAGTCAAAAAAGTGGATGATATAGAGATAAAAATGTTATTATTTATATTTAATTGAAGATTAAGGAAGACATTCGATTTTCTAAAAAAGATAAGAAAAAATAAAATGATGGATAAAAAGGAAAAACAAAACGTAAAATTTACATCTTTAGCGTGTTATTGGATATTGGTGAAATAGATACAGACACGTGGAATCGACGCAAAAGTTGTATTTATATTATGGAAAATAAGAAGATGAGATTATTTTTCGGAATAAAGCATATGAAATATAATGTCGTGTCATTTTCTGTTAAATTTATTTTAAATTAAATTTAAATTTTAAATGATTTAGGTCTTTAAAATATTATTCAATTAAAATTTAAAATATAAAACAAAAATTAATTAAAATAATTAGAATATGAAGATAAAAATGTCATTATATACATTTTAATTAATAATTAATAACACTCGTTTTCTAAAAAAGATAAGAGAAAGTAAAATGATGGATGAAAAGCAAAAGCAAGATATAATTTTCACATCTTTGATGCGTTATTGGAAATTGGTGAAATAAATACGAATACGTGGAATCGACGCAAAAGTTGTAATTATGTTATAGAAAATAAAAAGGTGTGATTATTTTTCGGGATAAAGCTCATGAAATACTATTGATGAGTTGTTTCTTACTCAGAGCATTTGGGTATATCTTTATATGATACAATGAATTGAAAACGTCACGCTCACGTCTTTGGTCCGTCTTTGAAAAAATATGAATAAACCTCAAGGTATATACTCTTTAAGGAAAAAATTAGCATTATTATAAAATAAAAGGAAAAATAGAAGTATTTCATTTTATAAAAAGAATATTTCTAAAATATTTTTTAAAAATTGTTTTAAAGATAAACTTTTAGGGGGAATGAAAATTTGAAAATCAGTGATTTTAAGACAATTTCATTATTTTTATGATAAAAAAAGATGGTATCATCATCCGAATATGAAAATAGGTAAAAATTAAATTTTAATTTTAAATGATTTAGGTTTTTAGGACATCGATATCCAATTAAACATCAAAATATAAAACAAAATTTAATTAAAATAATTAAAATATGACATGGAGGTCGAGTAAAAAAATGAATGATATGAAGATAAAAATGTCATTATATATATTTAATTGAAGATTAATGAAGACATTCGATTTTCTAAAAAAGATAAGGGAAAATAAAATAATGGATAAAAAGCAAAAGTAAAACATAATTTTCACATCTTTAATACGTTATTGGATATTGGTGAAATAAATGCGAACACGTGGAACCGACGCATAAGTTGCATTTATGTTATAAAAAACAAGATGAGATTATTTTTCGGGATAAAGCACATGAAATATAATGTCGTGTCATTTTCTGATAAATTTATTTTAAATTAAATTTAAATTTTAAATGACTTAGGTCTTTAAAATATCGATATTCAATTAAATATTAAAATATAAAACAAAAATTAATTAAAATATAGCATAGAGGTCAAGTAAAAAAATGGATGATATGGAGATAAAAATGTCATTATATACATTTTAATTAAAGCTTAATGGCACTTGTTTTTAAAAAAGATAAGAGAAAGTAAAATGAATGATGAAAAGCAAAAGCAAAACCTAATTTTCACATCTTTGATGCGTTATTGGATATTGATGAAATAAATGCGGACACGTGGAATCGACGCAAAAGTTGTATTTATGTTATTGAAAACAAGAAGGTGCGATTATTTTTCTGGATAAAGCTCATGAAATACAATTGATGAGTTGCTTCTTACTCAAAGCATTTGGGTATATCTTTGTAAGATACAATGAATGAAAACGTCACGCTCACGCATTTAGTCTGTCTTTGAAAAATGTATACCGTCAAATGAGAATCACTTTAAATTTGTTTCTATGCTATAGAAAATAAAGATAATAGAATTAATTTTTGCGAAAGCCGATTAAAAAGGAAAAAGACTTATTTTTGACTTTGATCGTTTAATTTAAGATAACAATATAAATTCAATAGGAGAAATACTAAGAACGCTCTTTTAACACTCATTATTTTATGGGTGAAACACATGTAGGTCCTACTATTTTATGTATGACTCATTTTCAAAGTGAGAGACCCACATGGGTATCAACCCAATAAAAGAATGAGTGTTTGAAAGAGTATTTAAAAGGGAGTGTTCCTAGCATGTCTCATAGATATAAATAGGCCAAAATATTGTCTAGGTCCTTTAAGTTATTTTAAAATAACAAGTTAATCTTTTAAGTTATTTTTGTAACAATTTAGTCTTTTATGTTAACAAACGTTTGCGTCGTTGCCCTTTTTAAAAAATTTCGTTACAAAAATGCATATGTGGCACAAACGGAACACATGTGGTATTTAACTGAGATAGTAATAGTTGAGGGATTACCTATACTTCCTGTTCCAAGTATGTCACCTATGTTGTTATCACCGTAAGACACATATCCTTTCTTCTTCGCCATAAAGTCGGAGAATAGAGAAATGTCTTTCGTCATGTGTCTTGAACATCCACTATCGAGAATCCGTTTTCCCGTCATAGAGTCAAAACACTCAACCTACATAAAGTCAAGCAAAGGTGGTAGGTACCCAATTCTCATTGGATCCTTGGGAGTAAGTGAAATGATTGTTGCATTTGGGTAACCATTGAAAAGTGTCATTTGGTACTAGAAAGCACCTAAACTTGCATTTTCTATGGTATGGCCTTTCTTGCAGCAATAGTGACAACCAATCTATGATGAGCTTTACTTTTGCCATTAGAATCCTTCTTAATCAAATTATAATTTGTATAAGGTCTTTCAACCTTTAAGGAGTTAATAGCAAGAGTATCACATGGTTGTGAAGCCTTGTGCACTTTGGTTTCAAGAGAACTTACTTCTTGTTGCCAAATTTGATAAGTTTCACAACCGAACTGACATGGTTCCTCATCCCCATTTTTATATTTTTGACCATATACAATAGATCGCTTTAATGCTTCAAATTGATTTTAGATTTCTTCAACCTTTGATTCTAAGCATGTAAAAACTTTTTCATTGGAATCTAATTTCTTATAAGCATGAATCACTTCCTTTTTTAGATTTTCAAAAAAATTTATCAAATTAATAAAAGACAACTTGTCAACGTTAGAGTATTTAGAATGACTTACATTCTTTTTCTTGCCTAGTCGTTGATTAGCCATGAAACAATAATTTTCTTCATCACTCTTACTTGAGCTTTCCTCGCTTGAGGCATCACTTTCACTATCCTAAGCAACATAGACCTTTCTAGGCTTCCTATAATTTTTGTGTTGACTTTTTCCTTTCTTACTAACAAGAGATGGATAATTCGGTCTAAAATGACTCGACTTTCCGCATTCATACATATACCTTTTCCATTGTTCTTTTTGTTGTCTTCATCTTTGGAGGATGTAGATTGTCGTTTGAATCTCACAAGATTTTTGTCGGAGTGTTTAACACCATTCTTTCGAATGTATTGATTGTATCTCCTAACAAAAAGTCCAATTTACTCATCATTAGAGTTTTCTTTATAACACGAATCATTATCATTAACTTGCTCTTCCTTTGAGGATCTAGGATTTGAAGCCTTAAGAGCTTTAGACTTCATTCCTTCCTCCTTATTTGTTTTCTTCTCCTTTTTCTTCTTTTTCTCAAGTTTCTTTTCATGTTCATCCAAGCGATTTAGTTCTTGCTCGTGTTCTTCTAACTTTCCGAACAAGGTGGTGATATCAAGTGTTGTAAGATCGTTGGCTTCCTTGATGGCTGTAACCTTCAGTTGCCAATTCCTAGTAAGACATATCAAAACCTTGTTAGTAGCAATAGCACTGGAAATAGGATTACCTAGCAAGTTTAAACGATTAATAAGATGTGAGAACCACTTTTACATTTGAGCAATGGTTTCACCATGCTTCATGCGAAAGAGTTTGAATTCTTGATTAAGTGTATTAATCTGAGCTTGTTTGACCTCATTAGTTCCCTCATGGGAAACTTGTAGAGCATCCCACATAGCCTTAGCGGTTGCATAATGAGAAACTCGATAAAACTCAGACACCGAGAATGGATATTTTTGCGGTGAGAATCAGATGTCAAGCTATTGATTAACTTGAATCTTAATTCATTAAATTCATAACCGGACTTTGATTT